GGGAGGCACTAATTGGAATTCTACAAAGTGCGTTTCTTGTATGCACGTTTTGTTAAATGTTCAGCCCCACCCATTGCTCGATATTACATTTGATAAAGGATTTATACGAACATCTGCACTTTTAAGGGGAGTTTAATTTCTGCTTACTTTGATGTGGTTGGGGGGGGGGGAGAGTTGGTTTAAATGGCGCCCTGTTTGGCCCACGCACTCGTTGATCTCAAGTGACGTCACAGGCTTTGTTTCAATCGTAATTATGCCTATGCACTAGGTGTTTAAGTTCTAAGTATTTCTGTATTATGCCGGCTGTTTCTGCGAAACATGCAATGTAAAGTTTCGATTCTATTTTTAAGATTTTTTAAATTACCTTTGGAGACAAGTGAACTTCTGAATTAAAAAAAAAAAAAATTTTTATATTCTTCACCCAGCTCGATGTTTTTGTGATATTACTCGTCAATGTTTACATAAGTACAAACATACATATATATATGGTTGTAGAGTGGTTCGATGGGGTGATTGAGAGAGAAAAACAGCGAGAGAATAGAAAAGAAGCCAGCGAGAGAATAGAAAAGAAGAGAAAACAGAGAGAAAGATAATGACGAAGAGCGAGTATTTTATATGTAAAGGGTAAATTTTTTTTTTTGATGGTTTATATACAATTTATATGTTTGTAACAGGTTGATGCATTTACATGCCCTTTATGTATTTAAGCTCAAGTACATGCAGTGTAACTTTCTTGTGTTTTATATCTTTATGGATTTTAGGAGACAATAAAGTTAAAAAAAAACAATTTAAGCTTTAAAGAAAAACAAATATCATAGTTTTATTAAAAAAAAATTGTTTTTATGAAACAAATATAAGATAAGATTTGTTTTTATGAACCAAAGATCATGTTTTAATGCATCAAATATCATGTTTTTATGCATCAATAAAATTATAAGACACCATTGAAATTTTGTCTTCCTTTTAATGATTAATAAATAACTGAAGTTGATTTCGAGATGATATACAAAATAAATGTTTCATGTATTGAATGAGGATTGATCCTTTAAACAGAGTTCTATCGATAAAACATTGAACCTCCAACTGCCAGCTTATAGTGTTTCCATCTTTTGGTTTTAGCACTGTTTCCCCTTGTCTCCCCTTGTTGTCATGTAACAGAGTGCTCACAACAAATATGAAATACAAAGACATGCATAGTTCTTATTTGATTACAGAGTTTGGGTTGGTGGGATGGTCTAAGAAAATATGTGCAGAGAGGTGGCGTTGAAAGCTGATATAAATAGTTTATTGACCGTTTATAAATATGGACTGGATTTTTTCTATGAGTGAAAATTAAGAAAGAGGGACTAAAGAGTGAGAGGGAGACCAGTGACAATTCTCTGCTTTATCACCAATAAAAAAAAAGCCATTTGAAATTTGTTCCTTTGACTTTCATAGCTAATAGCATAACGACTAAACTCAAATTTTGCGCTGGAAGTTGGAAGCATACGATGGATGCAAAATAACTGTATATAAAGAACACAGAAAAGATAAAAAAATTAATGGCATAATGTTTGTTCAGTGGATATCAGCACTGGTAACATGACATATTAATTTAACATGAAAATATTCTTCACACAATCCAATTTACCATGACTTTCCTGATCAACCATAGTTAATTGTTTGGTGCTGGTGACGTACATCAGTTATACACCACAGCAGGGCATTGTGGGGCAAAGGGTGTGCACAGCATCAGGTGATACCATGAGTAGCTGAGAGACACCATGAGTTGCTGAGTGACACCATGAGTTGCTGAGTGACAACATGATGTACTGAGTGACACCAGAGTTACACCATGAGTTACTGGGTTAAAGATGAGTTACTGAGTGACACCATGATGTATTGAGTGACACCATGATTGACTGATCGCTGATTGAAATCAATTGGAATGAAGCTGCTGACAAGAAATTCAACAAATAAATAGAATCTTAACAGGTGACAAAAACTATGATTTATTGCTTCTGTGCACTCTGAAATAAGGAAATAGCAAATAAATCATTTTTATCCTCCAATGCCTTTTGAGAATACCCCCCCCCTCCCCACACGCACACACAAAAGCAACAACTTTGTTTAGTTTTTAAATTGTGAAAATCTTAATGTCATTCAAATGTAATTAAATTTAGTAAATGATACGATTTTATGTTACAGTTCCATGGATTTGGTCATTCTTGGTGTGATTGTCCAGAACATGATTTAATAACAAAACAAGTTAACAGTATTAAAGTTAGAGTATTTGAATAAAAGACATAATATGTATAGAGTTCAATGTGCTAAAGTATGCTTCCAAAATGTATTCTTAATATTAAAGGTCTATTGGGATCTGCCATGAAAAGGCTAATTGAAACTGGGGTCTGCCAAGTAAAGATGAATTGGGATCTGTGATGTGAAAGCTAATTGGGTTATGTGATGTGAAAGCTGATTGGGATATGTGATGTGAAAGCTAACTGGAATATGTGATGTGAAAGCTAACTGGAATATGTGATGTGAAAGCTGATTGGGATATGTGATGTGAAAGCTAACTGGAATATGTGATGTGAAAGCTAATTGGGTTATGTGATGTGAAAGCTGATTGGGATATGTGATGTGAAAGCCAATTGGGATATGTGATGTAAAAGCTAACTGGAATATGTGATGTGAAAGCTAATTGGGATATGTGACGTGAAAGCCAATTGGGATATGTGATGTGAAAGCTAACTGGAATATGTGATGTGAAAGCTATTTGGGATATGTGATGTGAAAGCTAATTGGGATATGTGATGTGAAAGCCAATTGGGACATGTGATGTGAAAGCTGATTGGGATATGTGATGTGAAAGCCAATTGGGATATGTGATGTGAAAGCTAACTGGAATATGTGATGTGAAAGCTAATTGGGATATGTGACGTGAAAGCCAATTGGGATATGTGAAAGCTAACTGGAATATGTGATGTGAAAGCTAATTGGGATATGTGATGTGAAAGCTAATTGGGATATGTGACGTGAAAGCCAATTGGGATATGTGATGTGAAAGCTAACTGGAATATGTGATGTGAAAGCTGATTGGGATATGTGATGTGAAAGCTAACTGGAATATGTGATGTGAAAGCTAATTGGGTTATGTGATGTGAAAGCTGATTGGGATATGTGATGTGAAAGCCAATTGGGATATGTGATGTGAAAGCTAACTGGAATATGTGATGTGAAAGCTAATTGGGATATGTGACGTGAAAGCCAATTGGGATATGTGATGTGAAAGCTAACTGGAATATGTGATGTGAAAGCTAATTGGGATATGTGATGTGAAAGCCAATTGGGATATGTGATGTGAAAGCTAACTGGAATGTGTGATGTGAAAGCTAATTGGGATATGTGATGTGAAAGCAAACTGGAATATGTGATGTGAAAGCTAATTGGGATGTGTGATGTTAAGGCAAATGTTTTGACTACACATCATTGGATCACACACTTTAAAAAAAAACAAAATGTTAACTAAAAGGCTTTTCCATCTCAAAATAAAATCTTTTTTTTGTGTCTCAAATGCAATAAATAACTTGCTTTAAAACTCAGAATGAGTACGAAACATTCACTTTTTGATTACCTTTCCGGACTTTACCTAATTTCCCACGATGGGTGAATGGACGATAAGAGTAGTGTCCAGTTAAAACTGGTGCTCCTGAACTACCTTGACAGGTGGAGGCTGTGTACTCCGTTACTTTATCCCCATTAATCAATTCTTCAAAGTTCAACAACTCTCCAAAGCTGATAACTTTATGTTTCCCATGAGGGTGTGAGATGACGATGGCATGTTTTTTAAGCTTTTCTTTGATGGTGTCAGGAACTTTTGACCAGGCGTTTATTCTAGCTGTAGAGAGGGACTTGACCAGGTCAAATAGTTTGGCATCATGAAAAATTATTTGTAGTCCGACCAAGTCTTTATTTTCACGGTGTTCCCTTAGGCGATAGCCGTAAACTAGAATTGGTTTTATGCAATCATCAATAGTCTCTGAGTAAATGAGCCCACAGCTTCCACTGTTAAAGAAGATCCGAACATTGCACCCCATAGCTTCAACTTGGCTCCGGACAACGTGGTGGTTAGTATAAGCAATGATGCCACCATAACTTTGATGAGGTTGTTCGTGTGGGCATCCAACCAATGGGCACTGGTCATAGACTTCCACTTCATCTTCAGCCAACCAGAGGTACCCTGTCCCTGACACTTTTCCCTTCTTAATTTCATTGTCAGTTTCTGGGTCTGGTTGGCATCTTACCAGAATATGAGTGACCAACTTTTCTGCAGACAAAATATAGGTTAAAAGAGATTCATGTCTGATGTCGTCAGGGAGCTTGTCGAGAGTGAGTTCATCAATACCAATGAATGAGTTAGTTGTATTGGGATCTTTGCAAGAACATGACTTCTCCTCCGATATTTGTGCATCTTTGGTGTCATCTGACTCCAGCTCAATAAACTCACAAACTTCATTTATGATATCTGCAGAGAAAAGACAAGTTAGTGGTTGGTGGGTGTTGGAAAATCCCCCCCCCCCCACCACTTTTGTTTTCTGCAAATGTTAAACCTTTGTTTTCTATAATAATCATCAAGAATATAAAGACTATTTACCTGGTCTAGTTCTTAAATAAAATATTTCTTCTGGTCAACAATTTATATACATTTCTTTGAACATGAAAAATGGATTAACTTTAAATGTAGTAACATAAATATTTCAAAAGGAAACGCATGATGCACTCAATATAAGAAAGAGACAAACTCTATGAAAACTATAAACAGATGAACTAAAATGTGGCACAAGTCTATGTAGTTTTTAATGATGTTGGCATATATTAAAAAAATTGAAGGCTCGTTGATTTAAAATTCATACAAAACTTTTTTATACACTTGTATACTTAATACTATAATATCTTTGTTTCTATTGTGCAGTATTTTAAGTTCCATTTTTTTGCACCTTTTTAAAAAACAAATATTTGAAACTTATTTTGCCTAGAAAGATCTTCTGGTTTGTTGGCACGGTGCTCCATGCTGCCCTTGTTTCATTCAAAGATTGAGTTCTGGTGGTTTGGCTTGCTTAGTAAGATCTTCTGGTTTGTGGGTATGGTGCTCCATGCTGCCCTTGTTTCATTAAAAGATTGAGTTCTGGTGGTTCGGGGTTCAGACCCCTTGAAGGAGTTATTTTACACACCTTTTTGTTGGGAGGCTGCTATATAAAGTTAAAAATCCCTGTTCTTAACATCTAAGCTAAGTAGATTTATACAATACTCATATAATGTATTTTTTATTGCCAATTTAGCTTGAAACAATTTAGTAATTATTACTATAGTTGAAGATAAATATATTTTAATTATGAGAGTGTTTCGTGAATTGATATATAAATCAATAAAACATTTTAATAAATTTTTTTTACTCATTCCTTGGTAAAAATCATGGCCAAGAAGATGTTGAATAAACTTACAATATTCTGTCTCTGCTTTTTCTTCATTTCTATCAGTGGCTTTCTCTGTAAATGAAAAGAATATCCTATCAAAATTTTCATATGCATATGCTATTTAATTCTATGCAAAAAATATTTCATCAAAAAAATAACATGCTTGGGCATTAGTAAAGCATGATTGTACTTATGGCAACATGACCCTGGGTGCAGCTCTTTCTGTCAGGGGTATAAAATAACATCTAGCTTCATCACAATCATGTCCTCCACACATCATTTTACGGGTACAATTCTTGCAACTTATCTCTTGCATATAAAACAATCAGAATAATTTGAAGAAAAAAAATAATTTTTTCATAGTTAAGTCAATTGAATTGATTTTTTTAAAGTTTTATTTCTGTCAGCCTACCACAACTTCAAACAGACCTGATTTCAACCTTTAATTTAAAAATAAATAAAACCTTTGCAATGAAACAAGGGTTTATTCTATTCCAAATGGACAGAAACTTCATTTTCCTATACTTAGTTACGGAAGAAAAAGACACGAATGGTACATGTGTATGTGAGTAATATTTTAATTGCAGACCAAATCAAAAATAAAATCTTGAGGCCAGAATAGCCGATATTACTAAGTTTCTTTATTGTTAACAGTTAGCATCAGTTTGCAATTATGAAGATTTCAGTGCGAAAGTTCAGCTTGGTGATTTCTACAATGCAGTTGAATTAGTGGCAGAATGTTTGAGAGAGACAACTGAAGTTTATCTTGTAAGGACAAAGGCCATTCTAATTTCTTGTGTTTGATGGTGGTAAAAGCAGAAAATTTGAATTCGCACGTGCAAGAATGTGAAAACTGCAACAGAAGTCACAAAGCTTTCTCAGTGATAGCCAGGTACTGGTTTACAAACAAGTAACCAAAATGCATCCAAGTTCAACTCCTCATGTTTAACTTCAGTGTTCTGTCACAAGGCTAACCAGCTCCTACTCTTCCTTCAAAGTCAACTGTCCTTGGCATTGTTCAAATTCAACAAACCGGTTTCTAAAGGAGACTATTCAACAGAGAGTCACAGTCAAGGGCAGTAATTTCTTCTAAGAAAACGGGGAAACATTTCCCAATTCCCAGCAGCTGCATGCGTCTTCTAAATTAACAAATTCTTCAGAAATGCATTTATTTTGTCAGTTGAGATATTCTGCCTTGCATTCCACTGTTCCAAATTTTCAATTCATGAAATACATCAGCAAGATCAGCTAGTTTGGAGCACTAACACTAGCTTTTCAGTACTTCTTCAAAATCCTTCACGTTTTCATGAGAACAAAACATCAGTTCTCCTCTCTCAGCTTGTAGAAATGAGATGAAACTTTTCTACAAGACTGCCATCGTACTTCCGTGCGTTGGATGAGTTTGACATGGCCCGCTTCCATGCTTGGCGAACTGGCAACATTTCATACAATTATTGATTTTCCCAACCATGTCCAGCACAGACTTTAACTCGTCTCCAACCGTTTTAGCAACTAGTGCCTGACTGTAAATGAAACAGTGCATAACCCTGATAACTGGATTCATCTGTTACACTAGCGAGACAAGACCTTTGACATTTCCCATCATGACAGGGCCACCATCCGTACAAATGCCAATGCAGTTTTCCAGATCAAGTCACAGGACTGCAAATATGAATTGACAATATCAAGTCGCCTTTTTTTTTTGCTTCTGGCATTTCGTTACAGCAGAAAAAAATCTTTTGACAATAGCTTCATTGAATAAAACTTACAAAACCCATAGGCTATGATTTACCACTGCATCTGTGCTTTCCTTCACCTGCAGTGCAAACAATTCAAGTGTCTATATCTTCACTAAAAAGTCCCTGGGCATGAATGAAATATGTCTGCTTATCGTACTGACTGACAGTGGAATCTTATTGATGTCAGATACGGCACTCTCCCCAAACATAAGTCTCACAATTTCTGAGCATGCAGGTAAAATTATGGATTCAGCGACGGTATGCGATTTCATATTCTTTTCAACGATCTCCAAAATATCACAACTTGCTTCTTAAGCTTTACCAATTGTCTTGAACTTTTCTTGAATGAAGCTGTTATTTTAAATTTTTTTATTTGAGCTTAGCGACCTATCAAAGTACGCCATATTCATCTGCTCTAGATCCGGATGTTTAGTTGTTAAGTTTTGCTTCAATTTAGCTGGCACTATTGGCAAGACCTTCCCTGCAGACAAAACAGACAAGGGAAGTCTGAGTCTCCTGCCCATGTGAATCCCACAGCTAAATAATTTTCATTGATCTAACAAACTTTGAGATTTTGCTGGACAGTGTCAATTTTCGGCAAATTTGCCTCACATGATGCGGAAATAGCTGTAGCTTCAGTGAACTGCATCTGAGCTTTAGTTGGGTCATCAGCTGTGGCATCGTCTAATTTTCTTTTCCTAATAAATTGGTCCATGGTCACACAAAAAAAGAAAGAAAATCAACGTCATGAAAATTAATTCAAATGTTAAACGCTCATTAGGACAACAACGGAAACTATAAGTAAGTGGATAAACAACTAATAATACAGCAGAGCCTCTGTTGAAAAATGCTGTACTTCATACTTGAGCAGTAGTTACCAACCTGAGGTAGTGCACCCCTGGGGGTATGCTCATGACCGCTTCGGGTATTGAAAATTATAGAAATGGCAACAAAAAATTGTGCACACTTGTTCATTTATGAGAAGCTATATTTCAATAAAGGAGGGGTCTAACCAAGGGATATGGGAAGAAAAAGGTTGGGCACTTACTGCTGTACTAGAATCTAGAAGCAGAGGTATCACTAGAGTTGGCGTTACCTTGTACCTTAACTCATGGAGTCACACACCCCTGCCCCCCCCCCCGACCCCAATCTGCAATGCATAATTCTTAACTAGATCATTGAGAACTGCTTATACTGGTTAATCTAGAAGCAGAGGTATCACTAGAGTTGGCGTTACCTTGTACCTTAACTCATGGAGTCACACACCCCTGCCCCCCCCCCCCGACCCCAATCTGCAATGCATAATTCTTAACTAGATCATTGAGAACTGCTTATACTGGTATTGTTTGTAAATTAAATCCTAAACAAGAAAAATAAAAAGATATAAGAAGAAATCTTAACTGTTTAAACTTTATTTTCCTGGTCTTCAAAGAATTCCTACTCCGTTATGATTTTAAAACATCGAATGCTGAATCTTATGTCGCCTCCGCCTGAGACTCTTGAGCAATAAGATTGAACATACAAAACAGCTAGTGCTGCGTCTTGCCACACCCTTGGTACATTCTGTATGCCTGTGATGACCAACCATCATGAGCATGCCATATGACCATATGGTCTCATTTTGGGATATTTAAAACCTTTTCTAGGATTTCTTGCTACTAAATTTTATTGCTCTTCAAAATAAGAGACATATTACATTATTTCTTTGGGAAAACCAATAATGGAACTTATAAAAGGACCTAAGCCTGAGTAAGTCTTAGTAGGCTGAAGTCTATGTCTTAGGGGCCATCCATAAATGACGTCGGGGGGGGGGGGGGAAGATTTTTGCGATGATGTGTGATGAGGGGGAGGGGGGGGCTCAAAAAATGTGACGTCACATGAAAAGTGGAATATTGTAGTAAAGAATTGCACTTAATGACCCTAAATTACAGACATTTTTAACATTATTCTTTTATACAACAATTATAATTAATTTATTTTTTAAACTACTATCACTGGGAGAATCAGTACAGGTATGCCAAGTCCGAAAAATAGAATCAGAGGCGTGGCAAGGGTTGCTTTCTTTCTCAGAATTGAAATAAATATAGCTTATAGCTTCCTGTCACTTACAAAAGTTACCGAACACGTCATTTGGTGTTGAAGCATGGTCAAAACTGTGTGTTTCTGACCTAATAATAACGTAAACTAATTGCTGATGCATCAACCTTGAAATTTTAATAAAACACACATTTTGATTGGTTATATGGGTGGAAAATTGACATGTCATCTGTTATCCTTGTAAGAATTTTGGTTAGATTGAGCTGCATGTGCTCTGTAAATACACAATTTTTCAATTTGGTGTCATCCCCTGAGATGGTGTTACCCGGTGCGGTCCACATCCCCCGGCTACACCACTGAATACAATTTTCTGGTCTTCCATACCTTAGGGCTGGAGAGGTACTTTTAACCCTGGTTTAGAACCACTGTTATAGTGAAATGTTTCTGAAACAGGTGCAGAAATTTGATATCAATGGGAGGTGAATTTCTTAAGGGTTTGTCAAGGACAGTATTGGACACAGGGACTTTTTATGGGGGGTGGGGGTGGGGGAGTTGCAGAGATTTATGGCATTATATTGGAGCGGGGTGGTCTAACTATTTGTGACAATTTGTAACGATGGGAAGTGGGGGTAAAAAATCAGCAAAATTTGCATGACGTGGATGGCCCCTTAGGCTAAGACTACAAAACTAAAAAAGCTATTCTAAGTGTAATTAGTGCAAGAATCAAGATTTTCAAGTCCTAAACCTAGAATAACTCAGTAACAATAACAACTTACAAAAACTGTTGTTAGAAACATTTAGCGTCTTAAGTAGTCACAGTCACAATATTGACAAGTCTCTCAAGTTGAGACCAGACCACCTGAGACCCTGAGATAAGACAAGTAACTCACCTAGTTGTCTTAGTGATAGTGAGTAACACTGAGTACTGCTAGAGAAGAGTAGTCAAAAATTGTTTCATTTTAACTTGGTTTTTGAGCTTATAATAAGCTTACTTGCTAAACTACTTAGTTTAGGAAACAGTGGGAAAACCAATTGCCAATACCAAGGTAAGTGGAAACTTGAAATATAAAGAGAGGACAATTATTTAAAAAAAAAAAAAAAAAAAAACAAAAAAAAAAAAAAAATAAAAAAAAAAAAAAAAAAAAAAAAAAAAAAAAAAAAAAAAAAATAAAAAAAAAAAATAACAAAAATTTAGTTTAGGAAACAGTGGGAAAACCAATTGCCAATACCAAGGTAAGTGGAAACTTGAAATAAAAAGAGAGGACAATTATTTAAAAAAAAAAAAAAAAGAAGACATGAAGTAACAAGAAATAGTAAAGAAAGATTAAAAGAAAGTAGGAAAATAAGCCAATAAAGTCAATAAGGAATTACCAAAAACTACAAGAGTAGCACTATCACTATCAGTATAAGTATCATTACTAGTACTATCACTAGTCACTAGTCTAAGTCTAAAACTAAAACTAAATAAAAGTCTAAGTCTAAGAAATTGTTCAAAAACGTAAGTGATCACCACTAATGTTTACCTTTTCCGTTAATTTGTTTGTTGCCCATATTTTAAGTTTTTAACAAAACCACTAATTTGACAGAAGACGCCAGCCCGTGGATTAACCTCACTCAAAAACAATTCATAAGGTAAAATAAATAACAGGGGTAGGCCAGGACTGTAAATTTCAAGAAAAGATACGTATAATTATATAAAGGGAAAATACTCTAAGAAATCGTTGTAAGGGACATAATAGCTACTCATATTTTTAAAATGTATCAAGTGTCTTTATGCTTACATCACTTAAATTTAAAATCTAAAAATGTATCTTGTGGTATGAATAATACTTATGATAATAAAATTTAATTATTCATAAAGTAAATTTTATACTCGTCGGTTACATTCATAAGCTCGGTTTTTGTAAATCATCATAAGGAGCCGTGCACATATTAAATATTCCCTTAAACTTAAATATTAAAAAAACAACAACCCATAACCAAGCGAATAAAAAGCCAGTAAATATATTTTTAATTATTTTTACAAAGATGTGCAAGTTAGTGTAGGCAAAAAATACATTTTAGTTTTTAGTAATCTAGGCTAATTTAAAAAATTTGAATAGCACAAATTTTGCAAAAATAAAAATTAATGGGTACAACAAATAAAAAAGTATTGTTATACTATAAACTATAAAAAAAAAAGTATCCAAAGCATTTACAGATCTTGAGAATATGGCTAATTTTCTTTATATTTTCGTCGGCTTATATCATGAGAGTCAAGAAAGAATTCAGATACTTTCTTTTAAGTTTATTTTATTTAGTTGATCACTTTTTTTTTTTTTTTTTTTTTAACCAAACCTTCCAGTGTTAAATTTTTTTTTTTTTTTTTCTTTTTTTTTTTCTTGCCCCCTTGTTTTTTTTCTTTTTTTTTTTTTTTTTTTTTTTTTTTTTTATTTTTTTTTTTTTTTTTTTTTTTTTTTTTTAACCAAACCGTCCAGTGTTAAATTTTGTCTTTTTTTTTCACTACTTTTTCTACTGCCCACTGGTTTATTTTCTCTAACATGACCACAGGCTACCTGCCCCCTCCTTCATTTAATGTTATATATGACACATTATTTTATAATATAAAGGGTATGGATGGTTTATCATTTTGTTATAGGCTATTGTGTTTTATGGGTTGGGGTTGGTCGCGAACAATGTTGTATAACTTCATTTAATGTCACTATGTGACCCGAAGTATCATTATTAGAATTCAGAAAATATAATTTAACTATGGTGAGGTGAGTGTGTGTAGTCAGATTTAAAAAAAAAAAGGTATTAGATAGACAGGCTTATAATATTACTTTAGTCAATCAAACAGGCTTATAAAAACATTGCATAAGTACCTATCCATAAACGACGTTACATGTCTGGGGGTGGTGGTGTCAAATTTGTGACGATGTGTTGTGTGATAAGAGTCTAATTTTTTACAAGTTGTGGGAGGTGTAAAAAAAAAATGATCATGCCATCATTTATATACGTAAAATTGTTGTTGATACATTTTCATAATTCGCAGTTTTTACTATAATTATTTGAGGAAGAATTTCTTTAATGAAAACTAATCTTGATTTTTCAGGTTTGTTTGAATCCTTACTTAATACGTAATATACGTAATGGCTGGAATTGTATTGCATTTAAATATTCACCTATAAACCTATCTAACAGTATTTTAAAAATTAATTAATAATTAATTTTTTGGTTAATAAAATAACATAGTTATAATAATTTCTTTACGTGCAACGTAGTCTATCAGAATCAGAATTCAAGTTTTAAGTCTTAAGTTTATCACCGCAATTTACTTATTTGTTGTTTGTAAAGCAAAAATAGATTAACACTAAAAATAACCTTAGTCACGTGATAAAAACAACAATAAGATTCAAGATGGCTACCCCATCCTTAGACCTTAACAATGTGTGGCAATATATATCACAAGGCCACGAAAAGCCCCTCAAGCAAGCCTTTTATAATACTGTTGCAAATATCTTTGTTGTTATAGCAGCGGCTGTTGCTGTCGCGGTTTATTTTATTCTTGCGCCATTCATTAGGCCTCTTTACTGGGCCCTCTTGTGCGGCAACTTTTTGTATCCTTTCAAACGAAGTTTGACGAACGTACTGCGGCAATGGCTAAAAGGATTGCAAGATTCTGGAACCCCGTTTGCAGTAGGACTGGTGCTTTTACCATTTCAAATAGGAAATACCCTAGCAGAGTCGATGACAGCAGCAATATGGGCAAATTTCAAGCTGCTGCTTGGTGTTGTTATCAGTATTCCCTCCCTTTACATGTTGTACCATTTCACCCCATTATACAACATGCTTGGTTTATTGACCCTGCTCCTAAATTTTCTATATGACTTCATGGAATACTTCAATTCCAATTGGGTAAGTGAGTGAAAATACCATTTTTGCAAGTGAAACCTTACTTTCTGACTTATTTTACAATGTCAACAAAGGGAGTCTACTACACATGCATTGCACAATACTTTTTGACTGTCGTGAGAATTTATGTCGAATGGGGAGATGACAGTCATAGATTTGGTGATAGCACATCAAGTAACAGTACTGAAACTCTGGCATCTTGAATGTGCATATACTTTTGTTAATGTGCATCGCTCCAACTTCCATGTATTGAAAGGGAAGATATGTTGGGCAGTCGGACTTGGAAATGTGTTTCTCTGTGGAGGAAAATGTATTCAAAGTTGATCAATAAGTTTCTGAATCCTTGTACACCACAGGCAAAAATGCTCAATAATTCATCATCTTTGCTTGCATATCTGGCTCTGTCAAGAGTTGGCTAACCAGAATCTGGTATCACGTGTGTGATTCTCCATCAAAACAGCACTCGTGTGCTAGGTGGCAGAACAATGTAAACTGAGTCCATCCCAAGCTTGTGGGGTGGAGCTCAATCCCCAGCAAAAGCCTAGACAAGCAAACAAAACACCAGCACACCTGGTGGATGGGGCTCGTCAACCTTGGAGGGCAACTCATCTTAGATAATGCAAACTCTAAAAACAAACTGGGAGATGGAGTCCTGAAGGCGGTAAGACATTGCAGTTACACAATGAAAATTCCAACAACTCCTGCAATATAGAACGCATAAAGAGCACAGTGGGACACAATAAAGACTTACGGTCATCTACTGCATCTTGGTTTATTACCAGTCACTTTGACGAAGGCTTGCCATTGGATCAAATAGACCAGGACAAGACACTGAGGCAATTTTCCCTCAGTTTAAACAATACAACTCAAGTAAAGGCTACTACTCAAGTTATCTTCACATGGGAAGGACCAACAACAATAATAATAATAATATCGACACAATGCACTTCTAGAACAGAAAAACGTCATAACAAAATGCAAGAGTTTCAGTTCTGCTATTTTCGGCGCATAGTGTATTATTGCTTAGGACATTGGAGTTTTCTCAAATATTTATAATTAGTCATTTTGTTATTGTGCATTAGGTGGTCCATGGGTCCAAAAAAAAAATCTATGTTTCTTAATTTAAAAAAAAAATGTTTTAGTACATATTATCTATACACCAATAGAAAGACACAAAAAACAACAAATAAGTTTATTGAAGAAAAACAAATTTTGACTAAAATTGCAAAAAATTATAATTTTATGCCAATTTTGTCAGTAACGCAAAAGTTTTTGAAGCAAAGTGGTTTTGTAATATCTTAATCACCTTTGCACACTGATAAATAATAACATTGTTAAAACACTAATGCAGGCTCACTTCATCATAATGATCGGGAGAGTTGCAAATGGCATGTTTGTGGGATCACAAAAATTTGACAAATTTCTAATGGTAACACATATGTATAAAACTGGTTTCAAAAAATTTTGTTGAATAGATATAAATAGGCATGTGTATACAAGTAGAGCTTATCAATGGAAAGAAGCTTGCAAAGTTTGAAGTCTGTAGCTATAAAACTTTTCCTCCTCATATATTTGGCATTCCTAAAAAATCTGAGAAACGCAAAGTGGAAAAAAATGAAAATGATGTTGAAAATTGTTCATTAAAAAATTGCATGCTTTATGAACAATATAGAATGCATAAACCATGAACATCTACCATTTATGAATGAAAAAACAATATAAAAATTTAGATAGAACATAAATTAACTCATTTTTTCAAACATCACCCCCACCCCTAATCAAAATTTTATAATCATGAAAAATTCGGAATTTTTTTCTATGCCACTTATGTTATAAAAAAAATCAATTATTATGTTAACAATATCAATAGAGTGCAATATTTGAAGTATGTGGCTACAATACTGCCCCTCCTGAAACATCTGACATCTGAGATAAAAACTGGAAATGAAAAGTTTAGAAAAATGAAAATGATGTCAAAAATTGATCATGGAAAAAAATGACATGCTTTATGAAAAATATAGGATGTATAAGCCATGACATATACCATTTATGAATGCTATAAAAATTTAGAAACATAGAAAGGAAAGATTAAAAAATAAATGCACATAATTACGCAAAGTCCACCATGTATTCGTAAATAATAGATTTTGAGAAAGAAATCTCTGAGTAATAAAAAAAATTAATAATAAAATCTTTGTGAAGAGAATTTAAATGAAAAGAAACATACAAAGCTAGAAGCATGTAATGACAATACTTCTAGCAAGAGCAGAAAAATTGAAAATTACTAATGAATAAAAATAAAAACTATTGAAAATGTCAATATAAAACAACATCATCAGACACTTGTAATAAACCTAAAAAATGAAATATGTACATAGATATTAAAGGGAGTTCACAGTTTTTAGCTCATTACCCATAAAAGAAGCAGCTGCATTATGACTGAATAAGCAGATGTGAAAATATGTCTTATAACTATAACTCTTCATTATTAAAAACCAATGCTGAGGCACAATTTATATAGTAAACTTTGTTGCGTTGTTTATTTATGAGATCTCTGCAATTTTTTTTTTTAAAGTCGATAATTTATTTTTTAAGGTTTCGCAAAAATGCCGAGACATATAAATTTGTTGAGTTAAATGCAATTTTAAATTTAAGAAAAAAATCATTTTAATGATACATTTTTTTTTGTTACAGGTATGGACTTTTTTCATTGCATACATGCTTTGCGTGGTCTTTCTTTGGAAACCAGGATCAAACTGGCTTAGGTTTCTTTCGGCACCTGTTTGGATTTCACTTCTACTACATTT